CCAAAAAGCTCTAAATAAGGACCTAGAGCAATTGGGCTTAACAGCATCTATAGAACACGTAAACCCAAAAAAACGGAGTACACATTTTCTCAAGCGCACACGGATCATTCTCCAGGATCGATCACATACTGGGCAAAGACAAACATCAACAGATACACCAAGATTGAAATCATATCAACCATCTTTTCTGACCATGAAGGCATCAAACTAGAAATAAACCATAAAAGAGGCAAGGACTTCCTACCTCATGGAGATTAAAAACAACACTACTGGAAGACCCTGGACTAATGAGGAGATCAAAGAAGAAATTAAAAAATTTTTTGAATTGAACGACAAGGAGGAACACCAATACCTAAATGTATGGGATGCAGCAAAAGCAGTAATAAGAGGAAAATATATAGCAATAGAAGCTCACATCAAGAAACAAGAAAGAACTCAAAGAAACAACCTAATCTCGAAGCTCAAAGATCTAGAAAAGAACAACAAAAAAACCCCAAAACCAGTAGAAGAAAAGAAATAATAAAAACCAAAGCAGAAATAAATGAAATTGAAACTAAAAAAAAATCCAAAAGATCAATGAAACCAAGAGCTGGTTCTTTGAAAAAATCAATAAAATAGACAAACCCCTAGCCAGGCTCACAAAGGAAAAAAGGGAGAAAGCACAAATAAACAGGATCATCAATGAAAGAGGAGAAATCACAACGGACACAGCAGAAATCAAAAGAATAATCAGTAACTACTATGAACAGTTATATGGAAACAAGTTTAACAATCTAGAGGAGATGGACAAATTCCTACAACTCTACAATCACCCAAAGCTAGATAAAGAAGAAATAGAACACCTAAACAGACCAATTACAATTAGCGAAATTGAAATGGTAATCAAAAACCTCCCAAAAACAAAAGCCCAGGACCTGATGGATTTACAAATGAATTCTACCAAACATTCAGAGACGAATTAGTGCCTATCCTTCACAAACTCTTCCAAAAAATTGAGAAGGAAGGGACAATACCAAACACGTTCTATGAAGCCAACATTACACTAATACCAAAACCGAACAAGGACAACACAAAAAAGGAAAACTACAGGCCAATCTCCCTAATGAACACTGATGCAAAAATCCTCAATAAAATTTTAGCTATCAGAATCCAACAATGTATCCATAAGATAATTCACCACGACCAAGTAGGATTCATTCCAGGGACACAAGGATGGTTTAACATCCGAAAATCAATCAACGTTATCCAACACATCAACAAAAAGAAATATAAAAACCATATGATAATATCAATAGATGCTGAGAAAGCTTTCGACAAAGTGCAACACCCATTCATGATAAAAGCCCTTGAAATTCTTGGGATACAAGGAACATACCTCAACATCATAAAGGCCATCTATGACAAGCCAACAGCCAGTATCATTCTCAATGGTGAAAAGCTGAAAGCAATTCCATTAAGATCTGGAACAAGACAAGGATGTCCACTCTCACCACTGCTTTTCAATATAATACTGGAAGTCCTAGCCAGGGCAATAAGACAAGAGAAAGACATCCAAGGAATCCAAATAGGAAAAGAAGAAGTCAAACTATCACTATTTGCAGACGATATGATATTATACATAGAGAACCCCAAAAACTCCACAGAAAAGCTAATTCAACTCATCAATCAGTTCAGTAAAGTGGCAGGATACAAAATCAACACGCAAAAGTCAGTAGCCTTCCTATACACAAACAATAAATCTGAAGAAGAAGAAATCAAAAAAACCATCCCTTTTGTTATTGAAACAAAAAAAATCAAATATTTGGGAATAAATCTAACAAAAGAGGTAAAGGACCTATACAAAGAAAACTATAAAACACTGTTAAAAGAAATAGAAGAAGACACAAAGAAATGGAGAGACATCCCCTGCTCATGGATTGGAAGAATAAACATTATTAAAATGGCCATCCTTCCAAAAGCAATATACAGATTCAATGCTATTCCAATCAAAATTTCAATGTCATTCTTCAAAGAAATAGAACAATTATTGATGAAATTCATATGGAATCACAAAAAACCCCGAAGCCAAAGCTCTCCTGAAAAAAAAAGAAGGGAATGGAGGCATCACACTCCCAGACTTCAAACTATACTACAAAGCCATAATCATCAAAACTGCATGGTATTGGAACAAGAACAGACATACAGACCAATGGAATCGAATAGAAAATCCAGAAATAAACCCACAGATTTATGGTCAACTAATCTTTGACAAAGGAGCAAAGACTATGCATTGGAGCAAAGAAAGTTTGTTCAATAAATGGTGCTGGGAAAACTGGGTCGCTACATGCAAAAGAATGAAGCTTGACCACTACCTCACACCATACACAAAAATCAACTCAAAATGGATTAAAGAATTAGACATAAGACCTGAAACCATAAAATATATAGAAGGAAATATAGGCGAAACACTACGTGATTTGCACATCAAAGACATCTTTACAGACACATCACCCAAAGCAGTGATAGTGAAGGCGAAGATAAACAGCTGGGACTACATCAAATTAAAGAGCT